CTGCTGAATATCAAAGAGAGATTACTACTAAAACCCAAACCTCGAATTCCTTCATGCATCCATTTCTCCTACTGATAATCACAAATAGCCACTTATCCTCTTTGGAACACAGCAGCAGACAGGGATTACCTTGCCTGAAGCGTTCATGTTCCTGCCAAAACCAAAGAGCAGCCCTGTGTGTGCAGCCAGTGCCTTGCTCTGCTCCCTGACTGCACTCTGGGATCACAGCGCTGCAAAGGGGCAGATTTAAGGAGCAGGTTACCCCTCTGGGTCACACCTGGTTACTCACAAGCCTTTGTAGAGAATGCAGCCTGCCAAGATGTGGGGAGAGCGCTGACAGGTTTGCAAGATGAGAGCTGCTTTCAGTAAAAGCAAGGGGTCCACCTAGACAAGAACCACAAAAAGTTAGGCCAGAGAATCCCAGAAAATGCTCAAAGCAGCAAATAAACACAAAAGCGTTGGCACTAAGGCAGCTCTAGAGCCAGACACTGCAGAGGTCAGGCTTTTACCTTCGTTTTGTCCAGATTCCAGAGAGAATTGAAGATCTTGTGAAGGTCGCTGGTGTTTTTTTGGATGTGTTCAATGTATCTCTCCCACTGCCTGCTCAGTTCCTCCTGAGAAAATGCCTGCGGACAACAGAAACCCACACGGCTGTCACTGCACAGGCCTTAATGCACTCAGGACGTTGGATGCAATCAGTCTGGGACAGGATCTGTAAGTGGCAAATCTTGTGAGGATAAGGAAGAAGGTGACATCGAGAGGAAACTACTTGAGACTGAACATCTAGGAAACTTCTAGTAGACACCCTCAGTGCAATAGGAGGATGGACCTGTACACTTTTCCAGGTCCTAGTCCTTTGATATTTGAGCTTGCTCTGACCTTGATAGTAGGAAGGGAACATAAGCGAACGTGCCAGCACGTACGTGCCTGGGCAGAGCTCAGCCAGTATGGGAAGTGTTTAAGATCCCTTCCTAGGCAGAAGCATCACGGCTGCTTTAACTTAATTTAATATCTTTAATTACCGTGTATGCGCAGTGCACGGGTCCATGGTAGAAGGTGAAGAGGCTGATCAGCTGCTCCAGAAACCGCCTGCAGCTGACATCAGGGAGCTCAACGGCACAGCCCAGAACCTGCGACACAGAAGGCCAAGGATGGAGGATGTTTACTGACAAAACCCAGGCACAGCAGGTGAGAACAACTCTTTTCGCTTTCAAAGGAGCATCAAAGGCATACAAGCAGTTCTGCGGCAGACAGACACCCCCCGGATTCACAAGTCAGAGGAAAAGGAAAGTCAAAAACACCCACAGAAGTGCCCTGGTACCGACAGGATAAATAAATGATATCAGAAATCCAGTGTTTTAGACACACTCCCTTCCCACGTTAGATGACCCAGCTCAGTGCCCTAATAGCTGACAACATTTTCCTGAAACTAAATACTTAAAAACATTCAAATTAACTTGTTATTTACAGTGATGATGATTAATTTAGTCTTTGAGTTGGCGAGAGAAACAGAAGCACCGTGCCTTCTGCTTCCGAGAGAGCCCAGTAAACCCAAACAGCAATTAAATTGGTCTGCCCAGTCTCAGCCATTTCCTGGGGATGGTTTGGGGCATTTCTGAAACAATTCTGTTGCACACTGCTCTTTATATGCTCTTAAATGTCTGCTGACACTGACAAAGCCCTGCAGCAGGGAATACTGGAGCAAGACAGAACAATTGGAGAGACTGGGTCCTTACTACAAACTACAGCAAACAGAATCCTGTTTCCAGCCACTGCCAGGATCTCAGGGATACACACAATGATATAGAGCTCAATATTTTACAGCCATTGCCAGGCACATCTTAAGAAAACACACTGAGAGTGGACACACTAAAGTGTTCGTAGGCTGCGGTAAACAAAGATTAAGTTACTTTGCAGTTAAAAATAGGGCACTGCAAGTTCCCACCTCAGCTCTATCTGCGTGCAGCCCATATCCTAGTAACAAAACAAGCCCTTTTTGTATGATACAGGGGTTCAGATTCTCACTGTTTTCGCTCCGTGACTGCCTCCAGGTGTCCTGAACTCACCCACAGGTAGTCACCATCCACCACCACTGCAAACTTGAGCTTCCTCAGGCGAATGAGGGTTGGAGGAACCCCAGAAATCTCAGTCATGCAGTGCACCACACCGGCAATCTGTCCGCACAGCAGCTCCTGCTGGTCGGGGAGAGTCTGTCAAGGAAGGCAGGCAAGAAAAACTTGGGGTTTTTTATCTTTTAAAAGGACTTGGAAAGAAATCACTACGGTATTCAGATATAAACAAAAAATAATTATAGGTTCAATTCATTTATAAATCAAATGCAAGCAGCTGAATAAGAAGTAATCCAAAGCTCCACCTGGAAGCCCAAGGCTTTCTGAACCAGAATCACCAGCACTGACTCACAACACAGGCACTCTTTTACAAGCAATGAAACGAAGGCAGACGTTACCTGAGAAGGGTAAAAATAACAAATCCCGGCACTTGTAGGATCTCCTTCTTCTTTAACCTTTGAACCGTCGTAAAGGAAAAAGTAATTCCACCTAAAAAGCAAAGCACTGACATAAATGACTGTAGGATTGAAAACTTACAGTTCTCCCTCTCCTTTCTATTATTTCAGGTGGAGCAATACCCAGGTCAGTACAAACGGAGAGAGACGTGGTTCTCACATAACCACACTGAGTTCAGACATGAAAGCAGCACCTAAAGGGTCCCAAACTGTTAAATTTCACCACTTTCGTGGCTTTAAGGTAGATTTTACACAAGGAAGGAGATGTGGACTTGTGAGATACTCTCCTGTCCTGAGCACAAGGAATAATCATAATTAAGCATTAACCACGTGCAACCCAAATGCTTCCCAGGCCCTGCTGCTCTGACATCGATCGCTGACAGCCCAGCTCCTCAAGGAGCACAAGATTTAAGGTTCCCTCTGAAGATGCCCTATATTGTAACGTTATCCAGCTCATCATTCCAAAGGTGCACGTATTTAATAACACTTTTTTTCCACTCCTGCTAGCAAGCAGCTGATTACAGCTAGGTAAAGCTGGTTACAGCTGGTTACAGCTAGGTAAAGCTGGTTACAGCTGGTTACAGCTGGTTACAGCTAGGTAAAGCTGGTTACAGCTCATTCCAAGCTTTGCACCCAAGAGCTTTCCAGCCAAAATATGAACTCTAGAACAAAAGCAAAGGCAGCCCCAGAGGTGAAACTGAGGCACAGCGGCCCCGGCCCGGCCAGGACAAAGGGCCGGAGCCCACCCCAGCCCGTGTCGGACCGCCAAAAGGTTCACCGGAAAGCGACTGAGCTGCGGAGTCTCTGCGATCGCTCCCAGGGGAGCCGGGCCCTGCCCCAGCGCTGCCGGAGCCC